AATTATATGATCTGGTTTTGTGTGGTAGAACAGCAACCCAATGTTCTTATGTGGTCCTGTTATTTCTATTCTAATCTCGTTATATGTCTTGTTTTTTTTTTATAGGATCTGGTTTCTATTTCTTTTTTCACATAGAATTCTCTGTCGATAAGACCCTCTTATTTAATTGATTTAACCGGGTATAATTTTTGTTGTAGTGAATATAAGTTGTGAGTGATCTAACTGTATTTTTAGCCAAATATATTTCTTATGTAAAAGTAAAAAAAAGTCAATAAATGTATAGTTTGTCTTTTTCTAGTCTTTGCCTTTGATGAGTCCGTGAAACTAAGATGCCTTATAATTAAGGAACAAAATTTATGATCAATATAAGATGGGATGGCCGGTTCTTGGAGACCCTACTAATATAAGTCAAACCATACACAAAAAAGGGTATCTTTATACAACTTAGTACTTACTTCATTTTATTGATACTTTTTGGAGTACTCGGTTTTAAGTCATCTTATGTTACTTGTGATGATACTTCATATGCCATTTTTTTCTCTTCAAGTAATGTATTGTAAAGGTGACGAAGAGGAAGGGTAAAGCTGCACTGCTTAATCAACACTTCAACACTTTTCTTACCTGTTTCATCTTTTAACTTTCCATTGTCAATTCTTTCATTTGTTTCCCTTTCAAAACATCTTTTCACCACCCTTTAAACGTTTGTTTACTAAATGCTATTTTGCGATGCAAGTCGCAATTGTGACATCCTATATGCATGTTGGTTAAACAGTTGCTAGAGTAACCACACGTTGCATGTGCCAAGAGATGCCAAAATTACACAAAAAGCAATATAAAGGGGGTCTTAAAGATACCTTGAACTAAAGCTACTTAACTGTTACATTACTGGTTTTGGAGGTTCACGGATTCATTTTAATATAAATACAGACACTACGAGTTTCAATAAACACCAATTCAATACATAGATAAGGTAACAATTGAGTACAACTTAGCAGTACATATCAGTTCAAAAGTTTTCGAGTTTCTTCCAAGTTTGGGCTGCAATGGCTCGGTCAATGGTTTGTCATATTATGTTACTTGTTGTAATAACTTGTGTCAAAAAAATATATGTAATATATATAATTTGATTATATCAATTTAAAAGAAAGAGGATTAGTTCACAATTAATGGGTTAATTATATACAAATTATGAGGCTTAATGATCAAAACCGTCACCTTGATTATGCTAGTTAAATGCGAGCAAATGAAAGGGTTTCGATTATACACTTAGGCATTATATATAGCATGAAAAATCAAGTGGAAACCCCATTGGAATTATGAAAAAGACGAAGAATCAAGGGAGAAATCGAGTGTTGAATTTCTTGAAGATTTTCGGAGTGGTTCTTGAAATTGAGGTAAAGTTACGTGATTTAAGTTTGATATTGTTGTTTGGATAGATTTACATGCATGATAGGTGTATTTTGGTTCCACATGTTGTCTTGATTCGATCCACACTAATAGTAATTTGACAAAAATCTAAAAATAGAGTTTTTGAAAATAAAACCTGCAACTCGTATGTTTATAGAATTATTGCTAAATTTTTACGGGAATATGCCAACAAAAGGTGGAGATGCTTTGTGGTAATTTTAAAAAAATATTTTACATACTTTTTCGAAGATGCATTATATTCTAAAAATGGCAGTATATAAATTTGTTTGCGGGTAAAGAAGATGACTATCCGGGTATATTTCTTTTGGGTGGGCGGAATTGTTTTTCAGTGTTTTAAAATAAATTATTTACAATTTTAAAACCAAAATATAGTAGGAGCTTACTGGTCAATAAAGGTGATTGTACTCAAGGTCGTGTTATCAATCATTGGGCGCGTCTCCTTTTATTTCAGTTTTTTTTTTGGGCAAAATGAATGGTGTTCCTTTACTTGCTTGAAAAGATATTTACACAAATGATCCTTACCTTTTGAAAGGTTTGTTGAATCTAACCTTGTGCTTAATAAGCATGCATTTGTTGAAAGAAAAGTTAAGTTCATGAAACTTTAATTTTAGTCCCTGAAGTATTTTTTTATGAATTGGGATCTTATTCAAAAGTTAAATACGGCAACTTCACATGGTCGTATTTTTGAACGCTGTGAAAGTTTATTTATTTATTTTTATTCACTTATTTATGTATTTATTTATTTTATATGTTCTTCTGAGAGTGGAATTCAATTAGTTTAGCAAATTAAATCAAAATATGACATCATATGTTTAGATATTCGATTTATGCAATGTTGGCATATATTTAAGTAAGATTTTACAAATGTCGTAAATATGTTAGTAAATAACTATTAGTGGGTCGAACAAGATATGTGGATATCGGAACCAAAATGATCGCATAGGATGTTTTTCTAGGATTGTTGCCTTAGAAATATGTTGGTTAAATGTAGGGAGCGTGTAGCATGACAAGCTTTGGTTAAGACCTAACGCCAACGAGGTGAGTTTCGTGTGAATTTTGTGGTTGCTTGCATGAAAAGTTGATTCTAAATTATTTGCAATTATATGTTACCGTTGTTATTGCTATGAATATGTGTGTGAAATTTTGTGAATTATTTCATATAAAAGGGTGAAAATGGTGGGTGACATATAGGGAACAGGTGTATTTACACGGTCTTATTATTAGTCGTCGTATAGGATGTTAGTACGCGGCGGAGAGCTTACGCTCTGTTTATCTAGCCGTAAGCATATTTGTTGTGCCCGGCGGAGGGACTCGTTCCCTGGAAATGACAGTAGTTCCCTAATATGTCATCAAGGGTGGAAAGAAATGAAAAGATTTATATTGATAAATTGTTGCATTATTTTTATTTTATTGACGTCAATATGCATGAAAACCACGAACTCACTAGGCCCTAGGCTTACCCATTAGAATCTTTAAATGCACGCAACCCAGGAAATAACGTAGCAAGTGGCAGCGGGAATGGAAAGGATAAAGTTCAGACTTGAAGAAGGCGACAAGTTTTGAGGAAGACGTAGCGCACCAAGTGTTTAATTAAATTTCTATTTGCTTCCGCTATTATTATTAATAATTACATTAGTATTTGAATCTTGATTTTTGGAAGTTTTGGGACTATGTTAAGTTATATTTATATTTGAAATTTGGGGCGTTACACTTGTGATGTTCGTCCTTGTGGAATTTGGTGAGGCAACAACTCCACCGGGAATCGCTAACAATCCTAGCCATGCAACTTGTAAGGACCCGAGTTACAAAGAATGTCACAACTTGGTGCATGTTTGTCCTAAGTTTTGTCCGGATAGTTGCACTGTTCATTGTCAATCGTGCAAACCTATTTGTGGTAGCGACGCCGCACCATCACCACCATAAATAGAACCACCTCCCACTGTTACTCCATCACCGCCGGTGTATACACCTCCGTCACCAACACCAACACCATCGTCACCACCTCCCACCACACCTTCACTACCAATAGAGTCCACACCACCCTCTTCTCCTTCTCCGCCTACAGAGCACACACCTCTAACACCAACTCCGTCATCACCACCTCCACCAACCCCTTCACCACTTACATCCTCACCACCTCCCACCGCCCCTTCACCACCTACAGAACACACACCTCCGACACCTACATCACCTCTCACTAGCCCTTCACCACCAACAGAGTCCACACCACCCACCTCTCCTTCGCCACCGACAGAGCACACACCTCCAACACCAACGCCGTCATCACCACTTCCACCAACCCCTTCACCACCTACATCCTCACCACCTCCCACTGCCCTTTCACCACCTACAAAACACACACCTCCGACACCTACACCACCTCCCACCAGCCCTTCACCACCAACAGAGTCCACACCACCCACCTCTTCTTCGCCACCGATAGAGCTCACACCTCCAACACCAACATCGTCATCACCACTTCCACCAACCCCTTCACCACCTACATCCTCCTCACCACCTCCCACTACCCCTTCACCACCTACGGAATACACATCTCCGACACCTACACCATCCTCACTACCTCCCACCCACCCTTCACCACCAATAGAGTCCATAACTCCAGCACCAACACCATCCACACCACCTCCTACCACTCCTTCACCACCAACACCAGCACATTCCTCACCACCTCCCACCACACCTTCACCACCAATAGGGTCCACACCTCCAACACCAACACAATACACACCAACTCCCACCGTCCCTTCACCACCAGCTTCCATACCTCCAACACCATCCTCACCACCTCCCACCGACCCTTCGCCGCCAACAGAGTCCGCACCTCCCACACCAACACCATCCACACCACCTCCCACCACCCCTTCACTACCAACAGAGTCCACATCTACAACACCAACACCATTCTCACCACTTCCCACCGACCCTTCGTCACCAACAGAGTCCACACCTCCCACACCAACACCATCCACACCACCTCCCACCACCCCTTCACCACCAACAGAGTCCACACCTACAACACCAACACCATCCTCACCACCTCCCACCACCCCTACACCGCCAATAGAATCAACACCAACAACACCATCCTCACCACCTCCCACCACCTCTGCACCGCCTGTAGAGTCAACACCACCAACACCATCCTCACAAGCGCCTCCTACATGGTCTGCTCCACCTTCTAAACCAAAAAAAGTCAAGTGCAAAAACCACAACTACCCAATGCCTTGGAGCATGTCTGTGCTGCTTCTTGTCCTGGTCGGTGTGAAGTTGACTGTGTTACTTGCAAGCCAGTTTGCAGTAAGTTCTTCATAATTAATTAACTCTAGTTTTTTCATTTTATTTATAAATACTAAAAGCTCATGTTATGGTTTAATTCCATCATTTACAAATGCATGTTATGGTTAAATAACTCTAGTCACCTTGACAACAAATTATTGAGATTTAATTCCATCATTTACAAATGCATGTTATGGTTAAATATTACGTTAACACAGCTATCATTTAATCTCACAAGTGCTTGCATATTTGTCTTGTAAATTACAGATTGCGATATGCCTGGAGCAGTGTGTCAAGATCCTCGTTTCGTTGGTGGTGACGGCATCACTTTCTACTTTCATGGAAAAAAGGATCAAGATTTCTGCCTTGTTACCGATAACAACCTCCACATCAATGGCCACTTCATTGGCAAGAGAAACAAAAACATGGGTAGAGACTTTACCTGGGTCCAATCTGTTGGGGTTCTTTTTGACAACCACAAAGTACAAATCAGTGCGCAAAAGACTTCCTCTTGGGATGACACCGTTGACCGAATCTCTATTACATTTGATGGGGAAAACATCTATCTCCCAAAAACCGAAGGTGCCAAATGGCAATCTTCTACGACATCAATTACTAGGACACATGACACCAATCATATCGTTGTTGAAGTTGAAAACCTCTACAAGATCATAGCCAAAGTGGTTCCGATAACAAAAGAAGAATCAAGAATCCATAAGTATGATATGACCAACGATGATTGCTTTGCCCATCTTGATCTCAAGTTCAAGTTCTTCTCCTTGAGTAACCAAGTGGACGGAGTTCTGGGACAGACTTATAGGAATGACTATGTGAGCAAGGTGAAGATGGGGGTGTTAATGCCTGTGATGGGAGGAGATAGTAAGTTTGTGAGTACAAATTCATTTGCGACTGATTGTTCTGTTGCAAAGTTTAAGAGTATCCAGGAAGACGGTTCCTCATTCAGCTTGCAGTTGCCAAGCTTGAGCTGCGAAAACGGTATAGAAGGGCGAGGTGTCGTATGCAAGAGATAGACTTAATTTTCATGTTCTTGTTATTACAATGCTTATATTTTTACTACGTCGTTAATGGTGTAATAAAGAATTAATAAGAAAATGAAGAACCTTTCATGATACCGGAAACTATATATATAACTTCCATCCGTCATTAAGTTAAACATTCTTTCTTCATCTCGTTGCACGTTCGTTAATTTTGTATATGACTGTGAGCCGATGACACTATTAGAAAAAGCATGTAAAAACAATAGACTAAGCGAGGGAAGCTATCTGTCACTTATTAGCGACGGTACTTTTTAAAACAAAGATAGCCAGAAATTGCATCCATATAAGAGTTTAGTTGGAGGTTATCGATATCAAATTATTTGTGGCTTATCGCTAGTTTTTTTGCTATTTGCGATTAGCGACAATCGAGGGTCTATCCTATCACTTTTAGGTCGCTAAATAAGACATATGTCGCTTCCGTCCCAAAGCTTTCCAAGGTTGCCCTTTTCTACCTGAAGTTCATGACACTGATAATTTTTATTCAATGACGCTTATAATTAATCTCTCCAGCTGTCAGCTGAGCCAACTTTTGTTAAACTCGCAAAGGAATTCCGGGCTGAAGCAATACCTTACAAACGATCATGTTCACAAGTTGAAGCATGCGATCTGTGTTTGTCCTCTCGATCCCTCTAGCTCTTTGCTATATATTGGTTGTTTTCTTGAATGGAATTGTTTTCCAAAAAAAAAAGAAAAAAAAAAAAGTTGAAGCTTGTGAGAATTGAACATAAGAAAACCATTTGAAGTGCTTTATTTTATGTTTTTTTCATGTCGTTTTGAAGTTGTGCACGCTAACGTTGAATTTTAAGAAGCGTAGAGATCAGACAAATGATGATAATTTCAATCTTTTGTTACAAGATAAGTGTTAGTAACTTTTATGTTGTTAAGAATAAAACCATGATTTAATTTTATATCCCACATTGTGATATTACATCTAAAAGCTACGAAATAAAATGTAAATATTTAATCTTGATAATTTTGATGGTTTTTTATTTGGTTTTGAACTTGTGGATAGTAAGATGGAATTTTAAGAAGCTTAGAGATCAGATCCAAATGATGATAATTTCAATTCTACAGCTTTTGTTACACGATAAGTGTTGTAACTTATATGTTGTTACGACTAAAACCATGATTTAGTTTCATATCCGACATTGTGTATATTAATTACATCTTAAAACCACCAAATAAAATGTGAATATTTAATTTTCATAATTTTGATTTTACTACAACAATACCCACTATCAACAAGAGAAATATAGAAGGAGGTCTGATTTGCCGTTCAAAAAAAAAAGAGCCGAATTAGCGATGAATATAGCATAAATTCTTATTAACCGATTTTTGTAAGGAATTTTTAACGGATTAACGATGAAAGTATAATTTCATTTTGATAAGAATTAGTTGTATTTTTACATAAATTATGACTATACATTGTCAAATCATATTTGGTGATTTTCTGAAATAACTTGAAACATGAATGTATTTGATAATTACATGTTTATTATCCTTAACTTGGTATAAAAATGGATATTTTGACTTCATGGGTTTTAATGAAGTAATTATAAAAAGTATTGGTAATAGATTTTTAAGGTTCTTATTAATGTAAACATAAAGTGGTTTGAAAATGGTAATGAAACATTGAAAGTTAAAATGATTTGGTAAGACATTGTGCGGGTTTGGTAAAAGTAGTTGTTAGTTGGAAGCGGTTAGCGAGTAGCTAGTAGCTGGTAGCGGGTAGCAGGTAGCATGTAGCGGGTAGCTGGTAGCGGGAAGCTGTAATTTTTATTTGTTAAATGAGTGTTTGACACAAGTAGCTGGAAGCTTTTGAAATATATGAAATTACATGAAGTAGCTTTTAGATTTGTAACGTTTTGTTTAAACTAAAAGTTAAAAGTTTGTACTGTCAAACGAAGTTTTTTGTTTAAATTAGAGGCTTTTGTCAAAAGCTAAAAGCTAGAAGCTCCTAAACGCTTCCAAAAGCTCCGTGCTAAACACGCCCATTATCACTTAAGTATTTTAAGTACTAAAGTTGTAAAAAATAAAGAGAATAAATAAATTTTGTGTATATGTGATAAATGAAAAGTTATTGTAACACCCGGTTTCTAGATCGGATCGATTTAGGGCTTCAAGAAGTCAACGACATGGTTTTTGGGTAAAAACAAGGCTCACGACATGACCATAGAAGGGTCACGACATGAGGAGTGATTAAATAAAGATGCCAAATTATGATGAACTCACGACGGGAGCAATAAGAGCTTACGACGTGAGATGTGTTGCACCCCAAATCCATGATCTTTTAGGGTTTTCTTCGTATTTAAACCTCATAAACTTCATTTTTGGGTTCCAAAACAGTCTCCTTCGTCCCTAAGCTCAGTAAAACCGTAACCCTAGCCTCTCATTGTGATTCTTGAACTTTTGGAGGAGTTTTAATGGTTTGAAGGAGAAGATATCACCATTGAAGCATAGTTTCAGCATGGAAGTTTCATTTGCAACCTTTGCCTACACTTCTGGACCATTGTTAGTAACCAAGATCCAAACTTTATGTTTCCTGGTTGCTAGATCTAAGGTTTTATACATGTTTAGCCATGGATAAAGAGTTATAGTGTTGGGACTCAATAAATTTAGCAACTTTATGGGTCCTTAGGGTCCCTTGGTGCTTATATGTTATAGATGCGAAGTGTGGATCATGTTTGAGTTCATGCTTGAGAATTTATCTTCTTTTTCTTCATGAGTGGCCTAGTTTGAGACCGAGTCTTGTATTGGACATACAAGACCTTAAAGCATCGATTTTTATGATCCTTGGAGTGTTAGCAAGCCTCCTGGAAAATATGGATTAGTGGCTTAGTGGATTAAGAAGTTTTTGGATCAAAATGGCATTCAGATGGATCTCACAACCTTAGGAGATGCATGTCACGTCGTGAGGGTTGTGAGACTCGACTATTTTTCTCATGTAGTGGATCATGACATGAGCCATAGATGGTCACGTCGTGAATATCTGTTGACTGATGACTTTCATTGTCCATAGACTTTTTGACCAACTTTGACTTTGGGTTAAACTTGAGGATTTTAGGTTGTTGATTGAGATTCTATCTGGTTTTGGTGTTAGTGGATTCGCGGCAAGTAGAGCGGAAAAGAGATCATATCACAGTGTTTCAAAGTTCTTCGATTCAGGTGAGTTTGGGCTCATTCTACCGTGGGTCGAAGGCACCAATTCTGGTCCATTAGTTTTGGTTATCTTTAGTATAAGGGTGTCATGTAGGATACACTTAGGACTCTTAATCTAGGCTTTCTTGCATGTTCCTTGTTTGGTTGTAGCTCTAGAGTAGGATCACCTGTCCAGATGTCTATCTCACCTCTGAGTATATATGGTTATTCGTTTTTTGGATTGTTGGTATTTAGTATGTTACTATGTTATAATGATCTGTTCGATCTATATCATGGTATATAGGACGTTGCTATGTTGTAATGATTTGTTAGATTTGTATTCTGATATATAGGACGTTGCTATGTTGTAATGATTTGTTAGATTTGTATTCTGATATATAGGATGTTGCTATGCAGTAGTGATCTTTAGATCTATATGTCTACATGTACTTCTTGGTAATCATCTAGTGGTGTGCCTTAGGGACTCTATGTGGTCATGTAGGGTAGCTTGTGAACTCTTGATCTAAGTTTTCTTTCTTGTTCCTTGTTTGGTTGTGGTTCTAGAATAGGATCAACTGTTCATGTGGCTATCTCACCTCTAGTTACTAAATAAGGATATTTCGAAGTAATAAATTACAAATTTTATCCTGAGTATTTATCAATCCATGAATATAGTCCAAATTTTTCGATCGCTACAATTGATTACCAAATTATTGAAACATCAAATGATAAACAACTAATTATTATGAAAAAATAATAATAATAATTAAAAACTTGATCAATTTCAATACAATAAATAATGATTTAACATATGGACAATACAACCTAAATAAGTCCCACCATTATTACAAGTGGACTTTGAAGAAAACCTAGCCACGCATCCATTTCAGGTTATTAGCATGATTTTTTTTTAAACTTTTTAATAAATTTAAAATTTCTAATTAAAATCTTTTGTCAATCAAAGCTTTACATTTTATGTTTTGATTATCAAACATTTTGCATCTCGAGTAGTTAAAGTATTTTGGCCCAATTGGTATAAATTATAAGGATTTAAATATTGGGTATCTTTCGACTTTTTTTAGTTCAATGACTTATTTGGAATTTTATGCAAAACTTTCATGGAGTCAATTTATACTAACTTTGTTTCTTTATAAAAGGAAAGATATTTTTTTATTCATGATGAACCCTTTTAAAGAAACTTATAAAGGGTTAGTCCATGCTTTCCATTTTCTCCAACATACGTAATTAAAATGCGTATGCTCATATACATCGACAACAAAGTGGCCATAGAAAATGACCGCTTTAAAAGCATGTTAGGTTGAAGAGGGCCATGGCATTATAATGCTTTACTTCTAATAGGCCCAATGTGCAAAAAGGCAACCTTCCTTTGTTAGACGAGGGTTTTCTATGTTTCACTTTATCCCTTTACATCTACGAAACTTTATGACCTAATTTGTGTCCGTATCCTCATTTTGCACCATTTTAATTGTTTTAGTTGGCCATTAAAACTATATTCAAAATGATAGTCATTTATCCCTCATTAAAAAGATGTTATTATTAATTCATAACAAACTATACATCATTAATTCATTATAAAGTATTCATTCAAAATAATATGTAATTCAGGTAAGCAAAATAATTATCTGGTTCGTTATATATATATATATATATATATATATATATATATATATATATATATATATATATATATATATATATATATATATATATATATATATATATATATATATATATATGTGAGTTCAATTGAGAAAATAAAAAAAGTTGAGAATGGGGGAATCATTCTTAACCACTCATTTAATCTAAGCATAAAA